ATATATATATATATATATATGTATCTACGTGTCGCAACTGTTCATCAGTAGCATGACTAAAATGCGGACAGTTCGACAATTGGTTTCGGCTCCATTAAATCCTAAATCATGTTATTCAAAAAGCTCGCAGTGCAGTCTATGGCAACCTAATAGCCCCCGCCAACCATCCCGCAAGAGACTTGAACCTTCGGCCTCGTTCGCTCTGAAATTCCTCGTTGGATCGCATTTCCCCGCAAAAAAAACTGGCTACGGCCCTGAGGTACCAGCTGGTCTTCAAAAAACACGTAAACCAAATGGGACGCACCCATTGAATTCACCTGAGCAAGGAATAATGCCGGATGTGGACCAAAATCAGTCAAGATCTATAAAAAGGAACAAGAGTAGCAAGGCTTCAAAGCCAAAGGTATTCATTATCGGTTATTATTGTTAAAACCATCCAAATCTCTTCAATATCTATTTCAATCTTAATACAGTCGAACATCCCTTAAGTGACTACCAAAACGCGAACACTTAGTGGTCGCTTACGAGAGGTGGTCGTTTACAAGAACCGAACGACAGGGGGTCTCTTCCGACAAGAGGTCCCGACACGTTTATTCAAGGAAGATAATTCGTCGCATGCATCTTCTAAGCGTTGTATTGTGTGTAGTTCCACGTTGTCGCTTAAAGCCAACCTTATTCTCTAATATAACTAGCATAGTACAAAGGGAACATAGAGATCACGCCGATGCGTCAAGTGGTCGCCTCAGAGGTTAAAAACAAAGGAAAAACTGAAAGTGAAGAATGATCATCGCAGTAAATTTTCCAATTTAAGTAATTGGAAAGAAGAAGCCTGAAAGAATCAGGGCTTCAACGGGATTCGAACCCGTGACCTCCGCGTTACCGGTGCGTTGCTCTACCAACTGAGCTATGAAGCCACACATTGGGAAAGTGTTTTAAGTCATCAGGGTATCCGGTTAAAAGAAAATCAAGCCTGTCCACCCTTACGGGAGTGCCCGGACTGCTGTGTAGAATTCGTAGCAACTGGTCCTTCTTTGGAGAAAGGGAGACGATGTTGTTGGGTGGCGGAGCACCGGCTTGCGGGGTGCTTTGTGCCACATTTGAAACAAACATGGTCGAATCGACAACCCGCGCAATATCTCCCTACATGAAATGTCTAGCAGGACCCTTTAGGAAAGGACTGGCGGGGCCGTGATCGCGTAGGAACCCCACAATTGACCTTGTCCGAGCTAAAGTGCGATTTTGTACGAAAATTTATTACCGCCTTAAGCCATAGCTCCCAGTGCACAGAATCCCATGGGTACTGGTCAGGGGCTAACTGCCTAAGATAACGAAATTGTTCGTTTTAAAAATACCAGTCACCCGGTTTGGCTGAAATGTCGCGAATGATCTCGCAATATTTCATAAGTTGCGGGGCTTCATGGTGAAATTTCTCTGTAAATATGGCTACAAAAGTATTGAAAGCTGATAGCCATTGATTAAAGCTATGAATTTTCTTAGAGGGTTGAAAAGGCTCCAGGGTCAACTGGGGTTGTCTCGGGGAGCTATCAGTGGACTTGAAAGATAAAGAATACTTTTCAGTAGCTGGGGAGACGGAAAGTAGTGCCCCGAAATCTATATACTCATTTGCCCAGATTTTCCTTTTAAGTTTGGAAGTTAAGTTACTACCTAGAGCTACGGCTATACTAGCAAATGGTTTTTTTGTTGCCTGGTAACAAGAGCGGATTGGATCACATACTTGGAGGTGTACTTTCGGTCAGAAGAGAAACCTCTTCATCAACCACCGCCTCTACGCCAGTAGGCTTGTCCTGTCACTTGTCAACTTGCGTTTGGGGAATCTTTTCAAAGGCCCCTTGAACTGCCTCGGTTACAGCGAGGGAAATAGACGAAGTTAAGGCGTTTACATCCACCGTCATCAAATTAGCTGTGTTGGAATTTGCAGCTGCTAAACTTGTATGCTCTGTCTCAGGAGCCGTCTCTGTCAGGTTGGACTGCACTTAAAGGGGGCGCCACCTTAAGTGCAGGCAAAATAGGTTGTTGGCGCTTGTTGGGAAGCATGACTTATCAAAAAAGACCGTTACGGTTAATTAACTCCATGTAAGATAAAAATTTCCTGTCTAACATTCTTTAGAGGGGCAGAACCCACGAGTACGCGAGAACAATGTTGGAATGACAGAACAGGGGAGGAGAAGTCGAAGTTAACATAAAGAAAAACATCCTGGGCCAAGTTCCAGTCAAACGAGCACAACAAAAATCAATAATAACAACAATAGACAATCAAATTAAAATAAAACAAAATCAACGCAGGTACAGAATACCGAGTGCATTGGGCACACCCGATAAATATCAGGCGGCCGGAGATATGTTGTACCCTCAAAAGTGGTATCTGACTGCAAATTATAAACCCAAACTTTCCGGGCAGCAAACAAAGGGTTTCAAAAGGAACCTATGGAATCAGAGTTTACAGCCAGTGTCGTGCTCAAATAAATAGGCAACGACTAAAACGCACAAAGACTGACACAATAAATGCTGGCCGCTAAACTGCGACTCATGGTGTACAGTCAGTGTCGAGCTCAAAAGCAAGAGGCAGCGAAAAAGCAAATAATCAAAGGCTGACACAATCGTAAACACAATTGTTTCAGTCAATATCAAAGGAACTGGTCCGAGGATCAAAAAACGTAAAGAATAACATCAACGGTACGCTACTAAATGTCAACACTAGACAAGAGCCGCATAGACTTAAGTACTGCCCCTCTAAAACTACGATAGAGCTTATATTGCCCCATACTATTCAAATGAACGCCATCAGCAGCATAAAAATTATGACGAGCCTTCCAGAAACCTCTGTGACCCCAATAGATCGCGTAAGGGATGGGTTCCAAGTAGCCTGCGAACGACAGACGTCTCTCCGAGGAGAAACGTCTGCCGTTCGCAGGCTAGGTTCCAAGACAACCCGTAGGTAACGTGTTAAAAGATGTAGCAGAGCGCCGACGAATGGTTTGGCATACACACACGAATTTTACCCCGTAAGAATCGTGCAACAAACGAACGAAGTCCTCAAGTTCTGACCCAACTTGTAGAGAAGACTGAAATCAGGGTAGGTCATTACATTAGTACCAAGTTGCACTATAACTATGTCGGGGCGTGTAGATCGAACTACGTGCAGATCAAATTTGATCGTTTTTGCTACTGTACGCCCACCAATGCCATGCCAAGTTATATCGGCGGGAGCCGTAATTTGTAGTGATAAATCAAGGTTCCGATATGATGTTCAATGAACTTCTGCAGGCGTCGCATAAAAGAGTGCCCCGAGACTAAAACATGAGGTGTTGGGGTAACCATAACTCTCTAAAGAAAGAAGGATCAAAATTAAAAAGAAACTTGCCGGAAAATTTTCAACTAAGCGTCAAAGGGATGTCACTAGTACAGGCTGATGGTAATAGTTGGAAGGGCCGCGCGAAACATATAACAAGTCTTTTATACAGCACTAAACACGTTCGATCTCCTGATTGGCCAGGGAACCACCGCATTCACACTGCTGATAAGAAACGGGAAATGCCTCGAAATAAAATGACATTATATTATAATTCCATCTTCTCATCATAATGATTGTTTTTCATTGGTTATAAATAAATTTTTAATCTTTTTCTGCTCTGAATCATGGATATAAGCGCTTAAAGTCAGAAAGAAGGACTCCTTGATCTTTTCGTCGTCATATGAACTCCAATCAATCGGTTTTGCGGATCGGGTTTACCGACCGGTAATCGATCAATTAAAATATTATCATATTGTGCTAATTTTCTACCAGATACGTAAAATCGATCAGCCAGTATATTATCAATTGGTAATCTGTCGTGTAAAATCGTTCATATGTCTGTACGATCGATCAATTGTCCGTAATCAACCATGATAAGCTGTTCCAAATTTTGATCAGTTTTGCTAATTATCGATCAGTTCATTGTTGATCAGCGTAAACTCGGCTTGTATAATCTACCATTGCGCGTATTTTCATTCAGTTGTGACTAAAATCGATCAGTTGTTGTTATATGATCGATCAGTAGTGCGTATTTTCATTCAGTTGTGCCTAAAATTAAAGCGAAAGGCGGTGTAAAATTTTTAAAGAAAGAAAAATTAACGGGACGTACAAAAAGAAACAAAAACCCAGGGAGCAGATGTTGAGAGTAATATTCTTCTCACAGCGACCTTGAAGATGAAATGTTGTTACAGTAATCAATTTGTGAAAGATTGATCTGAAATTTTAAAAGTGCGTGAAACTAAAGCTATTCAGTTTTCTAGGCGCCAGGAATGGATTAGGTCGAGAATTCTGGGCTAAAATGATAGAAGTTAAAATCGCACAACTGATCGATTTTAGTCACAACTGAATGAAAATACGCACAACTGGTAGATAGTACAAGCCGAGTTTACGACTGATTATCAGCAAAACTGATCGAAATCTGAGACAGCTTACTATGGTTGATTACGGATACATAATCGATTTTACACGACAGATTACCGATTGATGATATGCTGGCTGATCGATTGTACGTATCTGGTAGAAAATTAGCACAATATAATAATATTTTAATTGATCGATAACTGGTCGATAAACCCGATCCGCAAAACTGATTGATTGGAGTTCATAGTAAACTATTAAGAGATTGTTCTTAATAATGACGGCGAAAAAGCAATAATGGAAAGATCAAGGTGTCCTTCTTTCTGATTTTAAGCGCTTATATCCATGATTCAGAACAGAAAAAGATTAAAAATTTATAACCCGTGAAAAAATTAATTTAAAAACAAACGGCGCGCCATACCCACCTACCCCTCCCCTAAGCCAACATTAACACTTACTTCTCACTTAGGGCAAAATGCTGGCTTAGGGGAGGGGTAGGTGGGCAGTTTCCCAGAAACGTAAAATGATCCGACTTTGTTTGTTTGTTTCATGTCCTGTTCAGCCTGTTTGTGTAAAAAATGCACTTTATTTGAGTGTCAATGTTGTATTTAAAGTACTAATTGGGGACACTACTTGACCGCCAGTTTACACGGTTTAAGCGCCCCTACCGACTAAGCTAATCCTGATTGTCCTGATTTCTAATCGCACCTTCTGGCTAAAGCTCTCACGTTTGTCAATCCACTTTTCAGATAGAGAAGGATGGTCACCTTTTGGAGCGGATTAAACAGAGACAAACTGTGCGACAGCAGCGACTCAGAGAATACTGTGAGAAGCACGCTTCAAGCAGAAATCGAAGCGACCGATACGAGCTTCCTATAATTGTTAACGATGAGTACAAAGTAATCTTCTGCCCTATTGCCAAGGTGGCCTGCACTCAGTGGAAATTTGTCTTTCTTGCTCTTGATAACCGCACCGATGTGAATGATATGCATGATAACAAACATTATAAATTTCTCTTTAATGATTATTCGGACGAGGATATTAAAGTGAGGCTACAATCTTACTTTAAGTTTCTATTTGTTCGCGAACCACTCGAGAGGCTTTTGTCAGCCTACAATAACAAGTTTGTACAGAAGAAATGGCCTGGGAAAATTATTGAAAGTTATAAAAAGAAAATTTTGGAAAGATACAAGCAAGACGAACCTAGCTCTAGCAGCTCTGAACATGATCTTACTTTTAAGAAGTTCATTTATTATGTGAGTGATGTTGGGTTTGATAGAAATACCCACTGGCGATCGTACGGCCCACTTTGTCACCCGTGTGATATAGAGTACGATTTCATCGGTCATTTTGAGGACATGCCAGAAGAAGCACCTTATATCCTACGGCAAACAGGAATGGATCGGGTGGTGACCTTTCCTCCGTTTCTTACCCACAATACTACAAGTCAACTTCTTGAAAGCTATGCCCCGATACCCAAGGAGAAGATCGCTCAGCTGGGTAAGGCCTTTCAAGAAGACTTTGAAATGTTTAATTACGATTTCCCAGGGCCTCTCTCCGATCTCGTACACGATTAAAAAGCCAGTATCTATAGCAAATTCATATCTACGAGGAAAGTAATTCCGATTTTTAAATTAGAGGTCTTAGTCGGAATACTGTTAACGGGCAGGTATTACATTCACCTGAAATTTAGCCTTCTTAGCAGGCGCTTATAAATAATATGGGGGCAAGAAAGAACGGGGCTCTCAAAGGGGAACACGCTCCCTCTCACGTCGCGCGCCCTTTTCTTTCTTGTGCCCATGTTACTTACAAGTGTCTGCTACGCCAGGCTCAGAGTAGTATAGAATATGGGGGTATAGGCACTGTTCGTATTTTTGTTAGGCTATATATGCACTTTTTTTATGCCGCTTTTATGTCCTTTTCCAAATAATTGCACATGATTAGTACCATCGTAAACCAACTATGTCACCATATTGAAATAACTTATGACTATATATTCTTTTGGTTTTCCAGTCTGGATCTGGCTGGTAGTTTTGATATCATGTTATCCTCGATTATTTTCTTTTTATAAGTATCTAAAATAGGATATAAATAAATGCTCTTGCCGCATTTATAATCAGCTTTTTCTATTGCTTGCTCAGGCTCAATGAGTACTGATCCTTTGTATCCTTCACAAGTATTTTTTATGATGCCAGAGAGTAGTAACTATCCATGGCATGAAATTCTTGGTCCTTTTAGCTGGTTTTATTGCTATAATGCTCATTTTAGAGCGGTTTTTGTGTGCTTTTGTACGACTTTTGACTTTATATTTGAGACAAGGCCTATTTCATTGGTCAAGCTTTTGTTTAAACTGAGGCTTAGGAATACATAGTTATTAAACTAGTGCCTCCAGAAAGAGACTGCTGTTGGGATAAAAGAGGGATATAATCTTCCATATGTATATTTTGTATATAATTATGGAATGTAAAAAGGGCCTCTCTAAGGTGAACTAAGACTGAGGCGTACTAAATAGATACTGACTACAAACGGCGACAAAATGAGTTGAGACACTTCGCCCAAAACTGGGCTTTTTTACGTTTTATTAACTTCAAAAGGAGG